CCCATTTTTAAGCAACCCATGACCGTATGTAACAAATTCTTTTTATACCTTCTTTCAGGTGTAGAACCTAATCAATTCCTCTCGAAAATAGGCTGTATTCACTGACTCTGATTTCTAATGAATAGAATGTAGCAGAAGAGTACAAATTCTGAGGCTAGATGAAAAACAGCATTGTGGCTTCCTCCTTGCTTTCTCTGGGATCACTTGCTCTGGGGAAGCCAGCCACCCCGTCATGAAGACATTTGAACAGCCCTAGGGAGGGGCCCATGTATCACGAAAGTGAGGTATCTTGGCCAACAGCCAATAAGGAACTGAAGCCTCCTTGCAACTGCCATGTGAGCGAGCTGTCTCAGGAACAGCTCGCCCAGGCCCAGTAAAGGCTTCAGAGGGCGGCAGCCGCCCTCCCCGCACCCCCCCCGCCCCGACCCACCTCTCATCCTCACAGTAACCTCATGGGGGACCCAGAGCCAGAAGCAACAAGCTAAGCAAGCTGCTCCCAAATTCCTCACCCATAGAAGGTAAGATGTTTGATGTCTAAGCCACTCTGTTTTGGGGCTACAAAGCCATAGATAACTATTTTCTCAGCAACAGATCATACGAAACTTCAGGGAGTGTATCACTAACGAAGTTCTAGGAACCCACCCAAGTACACCATAGCAGTGTATCCTCTGGGCAAAACTGCAGTTCAAGGAAAGGCATTCATTCCTTTGTAAAGGCAGTGGATGGGGGACTTACCACAGCTCTTCCGATTCTCTTGTCAAGCACTTTCCTTACAAAGGCTCTTGAGAATATAAAGAACAGAACCCCCGGAACAACAGGTGTGGTATGAGAGAGGAACTGAACTCCCAGACATGTGAAGGGAAGGGCAGGACTTTGGGTCATCCTTGAACTGAGTGCCTTGAGTTGTTACCCGCCACACGGGCAGGCACAGTCAGGCCAAATTCTCCCTTTTTAGAGCACAATGTATCAATAGCTATCTGGAGACTTGCATACTTGCCAAAGTTTTCCCCCACACACATAATGAATATAATCATCTAAAGCAAAATGGATTCAGCAGTGCCTGAATAAAAATTGGCATTTAGTTAACCTAATCCATTCTCTGTAGTGATGACAAAGGATTAAAGAGCCACGCATACCTTACACCTTTCAAACTGGCTATTATCAAAAAGACAAATAAGTGTTGGCAGGATGTGGAGAAAAGGGAACCCTCATGCACTGCTGGTGTGATTTAAACTGGTATAGTCATTATGGAAGATCAGGGAGGCTCCTCAAAAAATTAAAAATGGAACCACCATATGACCCAGCAATTCCACTTGTGGGTTATCTGTCCGAAGAAAGCAAACACACTAATTCAAAAAGATATATGTACACCCATGTTCACTGAAGCATTATTCACAACAGCCAAGACATGAAAGCAGCCTGAAAGACCATCAATAGATGTGTGGATACAGACTGATGAGCCATGAAAAAAGGGAAACGAAACTTTGCCATTTGTGATGACATGGATGGACCTAGACAATATTATGTAGTGAAATAAGACAGAGGATAAATACCACATGATTTCATTTATATATGAAACCTAAAAAAGCAAAAAACAGATTCATAGATAAACTGTATTTTGCTTGTATAATGCACACCCACGTGTTTGTGCCCATGTGTCCCATTACACATGGGATATTCATTATTATACCCATGGTATATAATCATTATACCCGTGTACAATGTGCATCCTTATTTTTCCTTCAAAAAATTTGGGCCCAAAGTGCGCATTATACACAGCAAAATACAGTAGATAAACTGTTACCAGAGAGGAAGGAGGTAGGGGATGGGTAAAAAAGGTAAAGGGAAATGAGAGATACAAACCTCCAGTTATAAAATAAATAAATCATGGAGATGTAATGTACAGCATAGGGAACCCAGTCAATAGTAGCATAACTTAGGTGACAGATTATTACTAGATTTATCATGGTGACACATCATAAGGTGAATAAATGTCAAATACATAACTATATTGTATACCCGAAATTCGTATTGTATGTCAACTATACTTTAGTAATAAAAAAAGAGACTGGCAATTTGGGTTAATTTAAAGCTTCTCACTCAAACCCACACCTACTATCAGTCTAAGAATAAGCCTACAAGAAGCTAATGGAACACAGGCAGCTCAGTAGTTAACTTAGTTAACTGTGCTTAGTTAACCCTTAATGGGCACCACGTCCCTGCTCACCACAATTTAGTGAAGAGAAAAATGAGGAGAATGAAGAATTCTAGTCGTTAGTTTCTATATAAAATTTTCTTTTAGATCAGAGAGAACAAATGGTTTCACATCCTGTGCCACTTGTGATCCACCAGCAGTAACTGTCTAAAACACAGGTGGTTTTAAAATTGGGTGGTTTTGATGGGGAGCGATGCCCCTGCAGCGACTGCAAGGCAGGGCGGAGAGAGCATGTGCTTGGAATCTTCTATCCTTCCAGTATGAGAAAAATTCCAACCCATCAGGAAAGGGCTGCAGAGTACCTTTTAATCTAGTAAGTAGCTGCTTGGATTATACAAGGAAGATGAGGAGGAGCAAACCATAAGGTATAGTTCAGCACCTTGTGTTATCAAAGGCAAGGGTATGTGAGTGGTAGAGTAGGATGGAGTGAGTATCTGGTCACTTGTATTTGTAAGTATGTGCTATATGCTCTTCATGCTCATTATCTCATTTACGTCTAATAACAACCTATTGGTGTCTTATAAATGAGAAAGATGAGGTTTAGAAAGCTTCAGTTGTTTGAAGCTGAGCAACTTTATAATTTCAGTGTTACAAATACAATTTTAAAATAGAGCTAAAATAGAGTTTTAAAAATAGTTTTCTGTTTGTCAAAGTGTTAAGGTTAACACAGTGAGGTGTGCTAGCATCTCAAATAAAGTCACCAGAGTAAGAAAATGTTTCAAATGTTTATCACTTGCATATTCACAACAATAAAAATAGGATTTCCTGAGAAAATAATTTTAAAGTATTTGGATGGCTATGACTGAAATTTTCATTTTCACAGAAGATGCAGCAGGATATGTAAAACACCAAAACAAAGCACAAAAATTTAAAATATTAATACTCTTCTTCCTTTCTTGGGGCCATTCCTAATCACATTTTCCTGTAACCAACTATAGTAGCTTAATAAGCTCCTGCATCAACCAGTCAGGTTTATGCCACAAATATTTGCATTGAATACATTTTAAAGTAATAAAGATTTATCTACTAAAAAACCAGTAGCAATTATTAAGCAGTTCAGCAGGTAGTTTGTGCATCTAAATCTGATGGAATCTTAAAAAATAGAGAAATCTATCTGTACTTCTCATGTTTTGGGGAACATCAAGAGAACTCCATTATGCAGAACTCTCTCCACTTTACACATCCTCAGTCCCCTCGCTCAGGCCCCAGGTTTCCCAGCCGCAGAGCCCTATACCTACCGCAGGCTGCTCGCTTGCCCCCCCCCTCCCCGTGAAACGGCAGGCCTGAGTCGCTCCCTCACTCTCCGGAGCCCCCAGTCCGGCCCTTCGCCTTTCTACAACTGTAGCTTAATCAAGTGTTCTTTTTAAAAATGCTATTTTATATCCACATTTCTTTACACAGTCCATCTTCTATCTATACACATACTACGCTGAAGTATGTTTGATATTGACAATTACTACAGTGTGACATTTAATACAAAAAGGCAAATAGCCGTAAGTGAATGAATACAAACACCAAAGTATGCAAACGTCATCTTCAGAGAGAGCACTATTTTTGAATTCTAAGATGTTTAATGTAAATTGTTTTATCAAAACTAATTATGAAACACAAAGACAATAGAAATATAAGTTATTTATTAATCAATCCACTTACAAAGCAGGTGGCTTAATGCAAGCTTATTGACATCTTCACATATGATCCATGGGAACATGTCTTCCACATACAGACAGTGATGTTACTGACTGATGCATGTGCAATCTGGGACATATTAAGCATATTTAAACAAATAAAATTAGGCTATCCTGTATATGAAAGTATCTTGATAATATGCATCCTGAAGTGGATTAAAACTTTCTCCAAAGGAGAAATGTTAGTATGTTAACTTAACTTTATATTCTATATTACGCATTAAATCTTAACTATAGAAATTAAAAATTTTAAATCAGTGATCGACTCTTGGTAATGTATGAAGTGGGAGTCTAAAAACCAGCGCAACAGTAGGTTGACAGTATAATTTGTGCCTCACAGTATCTGCAGATTTACTGTTTTCAAGTTTAAAGAGAAATAAAACAAGAGACATGTAGATTCAGCTAACTTTATTTATCTTTAAACTAATAAAAATCCCTAAAAGTAATCCTGGGACCTTTAGGATGAATGCATAGATACCTGCCAATGACTGCGATTCTAAATCCTGACTGAATGTGTTTACAAAATCAATGCAAGCAGATATCTTTACGTGCTTAGCAGAAGACTGAATGAAATACTACATGTCTTCTTCAATTTCCCCAAAATTTTGTTAAATCTGCAAGTATGTACAATCCAGCTATTGAAATTAATATTTAGTGTTCATCAGAGCTGTTTCACAGCAGCAAAAATTGAATCAAGGAAATAAAAGTTCTAAACAAAATAGGAAAAAGATAAATATAATCAGAACAGCAGTCTAAATGTATAATATCAACTCTCTGCATTGTGCTGAAAGGAAAAGGATACACCAAGAAAATTTCTATTGATCACTGGTGATGTGAATACCACCTGCATCTGATTGAATATGGTTTGTATTCTGTTCCCAGTATTTAAGGATGGTATTTAACTCAGATCTCCATATTGTAAATATACAGCAGCCATTTTTGTCCTAATTAAGGAATGTCTCAATACACAATATTATCATTTTTCTAGAGGATCTTTATACATCAAACTAAAGTACATGATTGATTAAATTAAAGGTTAGTAATGGATAAAAAAATTCATAATTCTTAAGACCTGGTACTATGTAAAAAAAAAAAAAAAAAAAAAGACCACAAAGTTCTACTTACTAAAGCAGCTAATCTTGCCTGCAAGTTTAGGGTCACAAGCCCATAATATGTGCAAAGAAATGCAATACAAGGAACCATGCAAAAATACAGTAAAATGATACAGGGAAAAATGTCAAATCTAGAAAAAAAGCTTTTATAAATACATCAAAATCAACTGTATACATAAACTGTAGGTCTAGCATCAGTTGTACCATAGAGCAGAGCCAGCACTTAAGTTCAAGGCTTCCAAGTCTGCGCAGGTGAGTCACGCCATCTTTGGTTGACTGCAGTACCGGGAGGGCGGGAAGGAGGGAGGGCAAGAGTTCTGAAACATGGTGTCAACTTTCACTTGGCAGCTGGGCCTCAATGTCCACTCTGCATATGGGGCACTTCTTATTGGTGATCAACCACTGGTCAACACACACTTGGTGGAAAAGGTGCATACAGGGAAGGCGTCTATTACAGGCAAACAAAACAAAAAAGCAAAATTAATTTTATGACAACTGCATGTGGCATTTATTTTTTTAAAAATGATACATGTAATTGTAGTGTCTCAAATCTTCCTCTTCTGTTAAAAAGAAAAACTATCTAATAAGAGTTACACCTATATTAAGTTGACATTCTGAGAGATACAATATATAAATGCCCAAGATAGTTAACTGCCACAGGTATGGAACCAAATCATGTAAAATCTCAAGAATTTTAAGGTTAATCACACTGGCAATTAATTCTAGTTTTGTTTCCATACATGAGCTTTCAATGCACTGGAGTTGGCTTTATATTCCGTTATATAATCATTCCATTATAAAATCATTCCATTAGTGAAGTGCTTTTATAATATATCATTTAATTCTCTCAAAAACATCAAGCATTCATATTATAAATATATAGCAGACATGTCATACTAATTAAGAAATGTCTTAATGTGCATCATTTTCTATCTAGAGGATCTTTATACATTAAACTTAAGTACATGATTGGTTAAAGGTTAATAATACTGTTATATTGTTAACAACATAATAGTGTTTTTGTGGATTGTTATACTTAATGTTGTGCTAGTCTTTTAAAAGTAGGTTAAAAAGAGATGTTTACTTTAGTATACTACACTAAGTTATCAATTAGAAATTGAGAAATAAAAAGTACTTTTAGGAAATCCAGAGGGCCACTGGATAAAACATTAGAAATGTTTTAAATCTAAGTATAACAGTGGGATAAAAGTTACTAGCTTAAGTATCCATTTCTACTTCTATCCACTGTTAAGAGTTGTCATACATTTTCAGACTTTCAATGTTTGTAAAAATAGCAACTAAAAAGAGGTGTTCTAATTATTCCTTAAATGGTATTGTTATTAATGTAAAAACAATTATTTTCCTTATTTATTAATCCTTGCTGAAAAAAATGTTAAAAAAAAACCAAACCTTGTATGTGGTATGACAGACAACTGTTTATTTTTTCTCTCTCAGCCAACTGAAGAGATGTGATAAAGTTACCGTATGGTTCTGTTATAAAACCTTTTTCACATGGAATTATATTACATTAGAAAAAACTAGGAACAAAACAAATATTTAAGACATTACAATAAAAAAATGCCTCAAATTAATATTGGGTTAATATAATATCCTTTCCTAAATCACAAAGTTGAAAGAAGAAATAGTCCTACAAGTTGAAAGGAAATTTTAGGACAAAATTCATTTATAAAAGATGCTGTAAAACAAATTGTATACAGCCAATCTGGATCCCTAGCACACTATTTAAGCTTTGGAGAATGCATTAATGTAACTGTCTTGGCCTCAAAAGCCTCTCAAATTCTCCTTTCTGCAAGACTGGTAGAAGAAAACTTTGACTGCAAAATTTCCATGGCCAACTCTTGGAGTCACCCAAAAAAAGGCAGTATATTTTCCATCCCTTTGTTTGTAATACAGAGACTCTTTTTATTCTTTCATTCACTATAAGAAGATGATTCTGTATGCCAGAGATTGGTAACAGGGTATGCCAGAAGTAATCATTATTTGGTTCTAGTCTACTTTTAAATAAAATCTCTTGTACAGTTTCGACAACGGATTTTAGATAATTAGCATCTAGTTACCTCACATCTTCACCTTCCTCTAAAATAGATAAACAGATAGTACACTTTTCCTCTGTGTCTTCCTCAGTCCCTTCTTCCCCATCTTGTTTGCAGTGCAGTTTCCTCTGTGAGAACCAATCAGTTGTTACCTTATTAGTAGAGATGACATTATTGAACAACTGAGTAAAGTCTGTGTATATTTGAAAAACAAAATAAAACAAAACCACACTTTCACCCACAACTTACTTCCTAGGTATGACTGTCGTGAATTAATAGATGAATTAAGTGGCTATCATCAACTAAGTGTTCTTTTAAGAACCTTAAATAGCATCAAAAGCAAAATTAAGGTAACAAATTCATTAGTTTGAAACCCATTATTTTTAATTGACAATAAGGATGATATACAATATAAACTCTATTTCTGTCCTATCATGAGCATAGCTTAAGAAACTTTATTTTACTAATAAATGTTTCAAAAAACACCCAAATTAATTAATGCTAATTACAGCAGTATTTAGCTTAGACAGTTGAAAGGACTTAAATTTAGCTGTAATACCTCATTAATACTCTCAGAATAAAGGTGAAAAACACAAAGAACAGTAAATTTTATTATTCTCTATAGAGCATAGAACATTGTTGTTTGTTGAAAGAAAATTATTTAACCTGTCTACTTCATAACTTCTAAATATAATACTACATAAGGAATTGGGGGTAGAATATAAGAAAGTAAATCAACTGAACATCCATAAAAATAAGTGGCTAGTTAAATTATGGTACTGCCATATGATGGAATTCTGTATACGCTAAAGCATATGGGTAATCTCGGAGTGAAGATACAGAATGAAAATAAAATGTGCCAAACTGTGTGCATATCATCTCCTTAGTATATTCTTGAAAGTGGAAGAAAAATATATACATATATATGCACATTATTATTATAAATGCATAAAAATATCTAAGGATTACTCAAGAAATCCTTAACCATGATTTTTCTTCTGAGGAGGCAGGCTGGGGTCAGTCAGCAGAGTAAGAAACTTAAGAGTATATATTTTTATACTTTGATTTTTTTAATTATATGCATATACTGTTTTAATAATAATGTGGTTGCTATACTGCACAAACTGAAAGAAGGCCCACATTAAATTTTATGCATCTTAATAATAATGTAGATATTTCACAGAATAAATTCTTACCTTTTTGTATTTATGTGGATATGTACATCTTTCGATTGTTCCCTGGGATGCTCCACGATTGACATTTCCTAATCTTTCTTCCAAATGAATCAGTTCCTGAAGGTGAAGAATAACTAGTATTAAAAGCCAAGATGATTATTCCTTGAACAGCACTGCCAATATTGCAAAAGAAATAAAGTTCCATATTTATAAACCTGCAATGTAAATACAGTGTTTAAAAAGCCACAGACAGTAAGGCACATGATTGTATATAATTCTTTTTTCAGCCAATTAGAAGTAGTGGTATGAAAAAGTTATTCTTACAGATCAGGGCAACATATTCCCACACAGTACTGTATAAGTCAGTATGTATGCATGTAGAAGATGAAATCATTATAGTAAAATAGGGAAACAAATCAAACAATAATCCTAAATCTCACTGACTCCAACTTACAAACTGACATGAACATACAAAATAAAACTTCAAATCATATTCAAATGATCTGTTCTTCCTGAAAATTCAAGAAGATATTTAGCTACAAATGAAATTATTTTTCCAGCAATATTTTACTAAAAATTAAGCTTAGTCAAAAGCATTAAGGTTGCTTCCCCACATTTAACATTATGGTTCTTTATTTGATATTTATATTAATTTAATAACTTTCTACATTTCCTTATATTAAATTATTTTATTTTCTCCTCTTGAAATCCTTGGGTAATTTCAAAAAATATTTTATTTATTTATTTATTTTTAAAAAGATTTTTATTTACTTATTTTCAGAGAAAGGGGAAAGGAGAAAGAGAGGGATAGAAATACTGATATGTGATCGACTGGTTGCTTCTTGCGTGCCCCCAACTGAGGGCCTCACCCACAACACACTCATGTGCCCTAACTGGTAACTGAACCTGTGACCTTTTGGTCCGCAGGCCAGTGCTGAATCCACTGAGCCACACCAGCCAAGGCCCTTGGGTAACTTTTGACACTAAGATTGATATTGCTTATAAAACTTCCTGTAATAGCTCCTAAAAGCAGTATCAAAAATTCAGACATTTTACTGCCTTCTGATCCCCAATTGCTGCAACAATCCTATACAATGTAAATATTTATAATACATGTATTCTCTTTCTGCATTAAAGATATTGTGCTGAATATCTTCATTAATTTTATTACATACCTCAAAATTGCCCCTGAAAGGACCTCTGAATGACGTTCCATCTAATCCTGATGAAATGTAACGGATGTGAGGGTAGCCCGCCATGTCAGGAACCTGTTTTAAAAGAAGAGATAATTTAAACCAATTAAGCACAGGCTCAAGTTCTACTGTTAACTGAATAATTCAGAAAATTTTCTCTAGTCAGCTACTTAGAAAATTCAGCGTCAATAAGTTTATATAACTCCAACTAAGCATTCTGTAACAGGGTTAGATTCCTCTTCAAATATAATCTCTTATCTAACGGCTCTTAAAATGTAATTAGGTGAAAAAGAAATAGCTGTTGCATGAGATAACAGGTTTCTTACACTTGATTTATGCTGCACAAAGAATCCTAAGTAGAAAATACACAATTAAGACTGATAGTTGCCTAAATGCATAAAGAGCAAAATTTTCTTTTCTATTTTTGAGATTTTATTTCTTTATTTTTAGAGAGAGGGTAAGGGAAGGAGAACGAGAGGGAGAGAAATATCAATAGACCACTTGCGCCCAACCAGGGACCTGGCCCACAACCCAGACATGCGCCCTGACGGGGAATCGAACTGGTGACCTTTCACTTTGTGGGACAAGGCCCAACCCACTGAGTCACACCAGTCAGAGCAAGAGTAAAATTTTCACAATTACTCTCTGAGATCTTGTCAATCTCAGAGAGCTTTATCAAACAATATTAAGCAACAGAAATGTATAAAATTTTCCAACAAAACTTAACTTCAAGTTAAGTTTCATTTCCTGCCCTCTAATTCCCTAAATAGCCTAATGTACCCCAGTCTATTTTTTGTTTGGTTCTGTGAGCGAAAAGTTTAATAGTGTTTTCTAATTTTTTGTTAGGTGTAGTCAATCCTCACTATTCACAAATCACTCATTTGTGAATTTGCCTACTAGGTTCAGTATTCACTTAGGATTTGCAGCAACTTTACGAAACATAACTACCGTGACTAACAGAGGTCAACTGTATTAGGAAAAGAAAGATTCTAGAGTAGAGCACCATTCTTACATCTTTATTTTTAAAAGATTTTATTTATTTACTTTTCTCTAATGTTGTTGCCTTCAATCTAAAAATACCCTCAAGTTTCTCTGAACCTAAATTAACTCCTTAATCCTGGAATAACCTGCAACCGTATTCCCTACCTTCCCCTTACAGCGAAGCTCACATCCAAGCACTTCACACTCAGGGTCCTCACGCTCTCGCTTCGTTGCTGGGGTCTAAGGGGCGCCCCGTCGCCATCCTTCACTGTCACTAAAGTCGCTCTGACAAGTGACCACTAACCACTCCAATGCCAAATAAATGCATCCCGCAGTTTTCAAACTTTATTTTTGGGGGGTAAGACACTACTGACTATATTATTTTGACATTTTTCTAGCTTTGTTTCTCAAGTTCTCTAGCAAGTTCTCACGATCCTTTGTTTTAAGTACAGCATTATCATTCCGCAAGGTGTTTTTCAATCTCTCGTTGGTCTACGCCTTTTTCCTGGAAATCGAATCTTCTTCCATAGATTCATATATTATGACAGACAGGTGACACATACACATATACACTGGCAGAACACAGTATCTCTAACTCAGATATCAGTTTATGGTTTGAAGTCCAAACCATAAACTTAACTTCCTACTAGACACTCCACCTTGGTACACACAATTCTCTCAGATTCAACAGGTCTAAAACCTAACTCACATAACCCCCTCCTTAAACCCTTGTCTAATCTTATCCCACTAGTGAATGGCACCAATACACACCCAATAACCCAAACTGGAAATTGGGAAGTCATCCTAAATATTACTCAAGTGTGTCGCACCATTTTTATGGCAACTGCCATTGCCTTTGTTCAGGGATTCATCAACTTCACCACTTCTATTAGAATTTATTAACTAGTTCCTTCCTCCCACCCTGAAATCGATTTTCCACACAACTGAGGAGGTGGTTTAACTACAATCTGATTAAATCACTCTAAAACATAAATACTATCAAGACATTCCCTTTCAATGCTTCATGAATCACAGTTTCTTGGCAGGGCAACATTATTTCATATTGCTTAGTACCCTCACCCTTAAGATCTAGAAATTCCAACTTACTTCGAGTCGCTGTACTTCTGCTATTTGACAGCTCTCTTTACATGCTATAGCCACTGCAAGAGCACCATTCTCAATTCCAAAGCCTGCTCAGAAGTCACATGCATGATAAAGCATTGCAGAAGGCTTCCCTGCAGTCTCTGCTCCCACAAGACCGAACTACTCCCTTCTCTGTACCACTTTTAGAACTAGTGTGTATTATAAATAGCAAACTTAATAATTTTTTGCTAAACTTGTTTTTTAGAATTCAAACTGGTACAAACAAAATCTGAATCTGTTCAAATCAGATATAGAGAATTAATATAAGTCCTTTTGTAAATCAGAAAATAAAGTATGAATGCATCAGAATAGAAGAATTACCATTATGAAAAATAAATCACATGTCCTAGTGACAATGGATCAAGATGGTCATCTTGGTATAAAAGAAAAAAATTTGCCATTTTTACATTAAGAAGAGTTTTACAATACACATACAGATTTTAATATATCCAAAACCTTTTAATAGCGCAATTTCCTCTAACAATCCTCAAAATCTATAAAGATACCTACAACAACTAATACATTAAAAATACTTCCAATAAATATTTAACTTAGAAAAAAACAAATACTTTTAGAAGGAGAATATGTCAGGATTTTAGAAATTTTTTATTTTACCATTAAAGGAAGTGCTCCTAATTGTAAGTGATGAAGTCGAGGTGGCGCATGGTAATGGGCCAAGTGAGGATGCAAAGCTCCAGGTGTGTAAGTAGCTGCAGTCACTCCAGCTTCAATTCCCAGTTCCCTGACAGAGAAGGAGTACAGTTTAACTTTTAGCCCGCCTTACAGCATCTTTATTATCAACAGAAATGAGTACGTTTACATTTTTAAAAGTACTCTAAAGTTTCTTACGGCACGTAGGCTGAGAAAAAATAATTTAGCCAAAACGATTTAACTAATAATTTCAAATTCACTGCAGAAATTTAAACCTAAAAACTCAAATTTGTGACCATAAGGCCCAAAGCAATTTGTACATAGTTTTACATTTTACAAAGAAAGGAAATTCAACTGACCCTTGAACAACAAGGTTTGAACTGAATGGGTCCACACCCACTTGTTAAGGGTCAACTGTGTATTGAAGGGCCCCTAAGGTTCCTTCCAATCTGCAAGTCTGATTCTACTTGAGCACACAACACAGACTTTACTTATTTGGTTTACATGAATGTTACAGATGCTCCCATGTTTGTTGGATAGTGTGTGTGCGTTGTTAGCATCAAGGATAATTAAAAAAGCAAACACTTCTATATCCTATAAAGCAGGGGTAAACAAAAATTGAGAAATAGGAAAACCGGTAAATGCCAAATCTTGATTTATTCTCATTTTCTACTGTGCTTCAAAAGTCCTGTGGGTCAAGATCTCAATTCACTGCCTAAAGACAATGGGTTCAGAAGAAAATTAATGCAAATCTGTTTCCATTCTTCTAGGAAAAAGACCAGCGGCCTAGTAAGCTGGATTTCCCTTGTCAGCAGCAGGAGTTAAGGGTGCTAAGGCAAATTTGAGTACAAAGGTGGATAAAGAAGTTGTGAAAAATAAGATCCCTTTAGGGAGTTCATTCTGATGGTAGACAACCCTCAAAAACAAAACAAAAAAGCTCTCTTTCTGTTTCACATGATTTCCTGACCCAGAACTCAAGCTCCTACACTTTCATCTCCAGGTCTCTAACTCACCCACAGTCAGTGCCTCAAAGTTAAGCTGCATTCAGTTTCTCCACATCACCATTCTATATGGCATTCCACTGCAAAGCATCTCTTCTACCAGTTTTTACCACAAGCTGCTGAGCAGAACTTTAAAATAAACAAGATACTGACCAGGCAGATCTCTCTGGAGCCTGTCGAGGATGTGAGGACATAGTCTGAGGCACATGAATATGATGCCCATGACCATAGTTTGGGTGCATCCTATGTGGATGGGGTGGGGGGCGTTCATGTGCCCGCCTGGAAACACAGAACACAAAAAGACCACTGGAAATAAGTGAATAATTGGTTACTTCTTAATGTAGAAAACAATCTGGTATTAATATTACAAACATCTATAGATCAGTCATAAAATTAACTCAATAACAATAAATTTAAAAATGTAACAAAATTAATGATTAATAATAAATCAAGAAACCATAACCCATAAAATTCTCACTGCCATTACAATGCCTCCAATTCAAATATCATCCAAGGAAAAAGGCAATTTTAACATTACCTTGTATACCTTCTTTACAGTAGATATTTTAAACAACAGGAATTGAATAAAAATAAAATTAAAAAAAATTAAATACCCCAGCAAATGCTGCAGGCACAAAGAAGTTACTTTATTTAAACATACAGGGCAAGAAAATGGAGGCTATTTTGTTTGCTTCACTTTTATATTATAATATTCACCCATTTTAATGGATAAAACTTTTGGGAGAAAAACGTTTTAACATTTTTTATGTTTTTAAAACACATGCAAGTACATGTTAATATCATCAGAGTTAGGATCTGAGAAAGTGTTACCAGCTCCATTCACACTCTTTATTCTGCCTCCCGGATTATTATATCTTCTCTTTCTAGTCTTCAGTCAGTCAAATTTACAAATGTAAGTGGTCATAAAGTTTTAAATATTTTTTTTAAAGTTCCAGGTACTAATTGTTGTAGTCTAATTCTTATTTTCTATTAGTTTTTAACACATTTATAGAGTTTGCATTTTTAATCTTAATGATTAGAAAGGTAATTTTCGAGATACTAGAAGATATGAATGTTACATTGGCAACTTTCTAAATAAAGGTTACTATATTAGAACTGTACTAGCTGCCAGAAGTTCTGGACATAATCTGAACTTATATAACTAAAAGAAACAGCTACACAAGTACTAGGTCATTAAGTAGATCAAGAGTTTTGCACACATTCTGCAGAAGACAAGTAGTACATACTGTTGGTTCTATAGGCCACTTGGTTTCTGTTGCAACTACCTAGTCTTTGTAATGTGAAAAAAGCCATAAACATTACATTAAAAAAAAAAACAAACAACAATTGTAGCTGTCTTCCTATAAAATTTTATTTACAATAACAGGTAGGCAGCCCTGGCTGGGTAGCTTGTGGTTAGAGTGCCGTCCCATACACCAAAGTTGAGGGTTTGATTCCTGGTCAGAGCACATACAAGAAGCAACCACTGAATGTGTCAATAAGTGGAACAACAAATTGACATCTCTCTCTCCCTTTTCCTCTGTCTACAATAAATAAATAAAAAATAAATTAAAAAATAGGTAGGCAGAATTAAGAGTTTACTGTCCTAAATTAAAAAATTAGATCTGAATTTTCAAAACAAAAAAAAAGTTCAGTGATAATCTTTTCGTATTTGTGGAGTACAATATTTTAATATTTAAATTTATAAATAGACTATTTTTTTCAATATCAATCATTGAAAATGTCACTAATACTCTTCTTCCTTCTGACTGGTAACATATAATAAATCATATTATATCTACGATAACTTTATATCTTGTTCTCCAGGATCATCAATTCTAACATGTTCCTTTACTATGGAGTATTAAAGAAACAAACAAGGGATTGGTTTGCAAAAATAAATGACCCTGGATTCTATTCTGAAAATGGTTTGATTTCACTAAATAACCTGATAGAAAATTATTTTGACAACACCTACAACTCAGGATAACAGGAAGATTCTAGTTAGTAAAGAATTAATTTCCTAGTGAACTGAGAATTTAATATAGTTCCATCACTTCTACAGATTTCATAATTTTAAAGACCAGTGGAGAAAGAAAGATGAATAAAGTGTGAATCTTTTTAAAAACATAAAACATACGTTGGATGCTGCATCATCCTCCTCCTTTGCACTTCCATCCTCTGCATCACCTCATGAGGATGCAGTCTCTGTGCTGGAGGTGCTGTGGCTGGAATATGGTGTGAAATTGGCTGGTGCGAGGGAGGAAGATGCTGAGGGATTGGCGCAGCTGTACTGGCTAAATGAGTTGGGGGTGGGGGTGCCACCGGGTGAGATGTTGCATGAGAAGACATTTGAGAATGAAAAGCATGTACAGGATGAGGAATAACATAATCCACTTGGGGTGGAGGCTGAGTCTGAGGAGGAGGGTTTCCATGAGAGTGGGGGCAAGCAGAGGCTTGATGATGAAGTGGTCTTGTCAAAGAAGCATCTGTAGAGAAAAACACAGGTACCACGCAATTGAGCATATATTGCTATTATATATTCCTACTGGATTATACAGACATATTAGCATGTACTTAATTTTTATGAATACTTTATCAAGTCTGTTCAATTCCATTCTGCATCCTGCTTTCTCTAAATAATCTTAGATATCTTTTCATGTCGATATTTATATCTTTACTTCATTCATAGCCTCACAACATTCTATTATAGGAATGTACCAACATTTTATAAAAGAAATCTCCATTCATAAAAATTAAAAGCTAGGTAAAAGTCTGAGTAAACCATGGGATTTAGTTAACAACTGTGTATCGCCCTGCCCTGGCCGGGTAGCTTAGTTGGTTGGAGCATCATCCTGATACACCAAGGTTGTTGGTTCAATTCCTGGTCAGGGGACATACAAGAATCAACCAATGAATGAATAAATAAGTGGAAATAATGTATCTCTGTCTCTCTCTCCCCCTTCCTCTAAAATAAATAACCACCAATGAATGCATGAGTAAGTGGAAATAACAAATTGATGTATCTCTTTCCCTTCCTCTAAAATAAGTAATAAAAAATAATAACAACATATATAGGTTAATTTTAACAAATGAACTATAGTAATGTAAGATATTAATAACAGAGAAAACTAGATGTGAGGTATATGGGATCTCTCTGAGCTATCATTTCAATTTTTCTGTAAATCTAAAACTGTTCTAAAAAATAAAGTCTAGGCCTGGCTGGTGTGGCTCAGTGGATTGAGCACCAGCTTGCAAACCAAAAGGTTACTGGTTTGATTCCTGGTCAGGACACATGCCTGGGTTGCAGGTCAGGTCCCCAGTTGGAGGCATGCAAGAAGCAACTAATCTATGTCACTCTTGCACATCGATGTTTCTCTCCCTCTAAATAAATAAATATATACATAAATAAAATCTTTTATAAAATAAAACGAAGTCATGATGTCTAATTTTTAAAGAAAGCAACCCAAATGCTGCAATAGACATGTGTGTATAATCCACCTTGTGCACACACTTTTTCATATACCATGTATGAGTGTGCACATTTGTAAGCAGACACACACACACACACACACACACACACACACACACACTTTCTCTCTCTCTCTCTCTCTCTCTGCTCTTGGACAATTATTGTAGCATAAATTCCTATAAGCAGTTCTGATTCGAAGAGAATAATCAGATACCAGTTGACAAAACACTCTTCCCAAAAGGTTACTGTAATTACTATTTCCATTAACAGTACATGAGAGTGCCTGGTTTCCCCTACACTACCACTAAATATTTAAAATGCCAATCTGAGAAAAATCTTGTATTTATTAATCACTTATATTTCTTCCAAAATTACCTATTCAGATGCCTACTGTTCACCTTTTTCTTGTTAATTTGTAACTATTCTTTATATACATAAGGCATGCACATTTTTCCAAACTGTCTTTTGTTAATTATGTTTTGCTATTCACAAGTTTTTTGCTTTTGTGTAGTCAAATGTATAAATTATATATTTAGAAATATATAAGTCTTGTTTTCCTTTATGATTTACTGGTATAAAGCACTACAGAGAGGAAAGGAACTTGTGAGCACTCCTGGGCAAGACTGCAAAGGTATTCTTTAATTGCAGCTCTTCTCTTACCGCGCCCCATGCCATTTTTTCTGTGCTCCATTAAGAAAATGAAGAGACGTATTTGCCAGGCACATGTCATGGAAATCAGCCCTTTATAAAGATAATTTCCCCCATTTCTTCACTCTGAATCTTTGTGTTTCAAAGTGACTGATGACAGGCCCCTCTGAAGAATGTAACTCTCTCTTCCTCTAAAAGATATACATCTGTTTGAGGTCTAAAAACATGCTTGTCTCCTCTGTGGACTTCAGTCTGAATTTCATGTTAGTTGGAAGATTTTCTCAGTAGTCTGGTGCAAAGCTATGGCCATTCTTAAGTTTCATTATAGAAGAATTTCCTTCCATTTTTAACTCTTGATTCAGTCAGCAGGTAACCACAAACACTCATTCAGCCACATTTTCAAAGGAAATCTTGCTAGCATATGTTTCACTAGCTCATCAGGGTTGTGACACAAATTTTTAAACTTTTTTCCTAAAAGTAATGTTTTCAAATCAATGCTTTATTCTAAGAAGTCACAGAGCACTTTTTTCAGTTTCATTTCAAAGTTTCCTATTTCTATAATCATTATGTAAAAAATAATGCTCACAAATATTACAAATTTTTAAAGTTTTGTTTCAGAATGAATTTATTTTATTTTTCAGCTTTATTGAGATATAATTAACAAATACAATTGTATATATTTAAAGTGTACAATATAATTTGACATGTATACTTTGTGAAATAATTATAACAATCAGGTTAAATTAACACATCCATCACCTCACACAGTTACCATCATTTTGTGTGTGGTGAGAACATAAGCCATCATTATAATTCACTGTTTATCTAAACAATACAGATTGCTAACCACTGTAGAAAACTGACATTCTGCATTCCCACAGACCATTTCCCTTCCTTCTGTACTTTGTGTGTCCTTGCCAGTTAAAAAACTTCTTCATATTGCTTCCTAAAAGTTTAATATGTTACTTTAACACAGAAATCTCACTCCTAGTAAGCTATCCTACAGATAAATTGAAAAACTACCAACAATTTAAATGTCCATCAATAGAGGACTGATTTAATATACAATGGAATACTACAAAGGTATTAAAAACAATGAGTTAAATTTTTATGTGTTAATACAGAAAAAATCTTGATGCATTGTTAAATTTGAAATCATTAACAAATCGAAGAGCAAGAGGCAAACGATGTTTAATATGATCCCATTATATATATATATATATATATATATATATATATATATATATATATATATATATAGCCCTGCCTAGTGTGGTTCAGTGGAGTGACTGCCCGCCTGCAAACTGAAAGGTCGCTGATGTGATTCCCAGTCAGGGCACATGCCTGGGTTGCAGGCCAGGTCCCCGGTTGGGGACATGCGATAGGAAACAGATCCATGTGTCTCTTGCACATTGGTATTTCTCTCTCTTTCTCCCTTCCCCTCTCTCTAAATACACACACACACACACACACACACACACACACACACACACACACATTTTTGGGTGTACAAATAAAATTTCTAACATGTTTTATAATAATCTATAAATACTTGCTACCTCTGAGTTATTAAGATTAGTGGGATATGGGGAGAAGGGCTTTTAACTTCTCATTTTACATCATTCTGCAGTTTGAACTTCTTAGGGTGTACACAACTTACTTTTATGATAAATCAAATTCATCTAAAACATATATTTCTTTATGAGGATATTTAAAAAGAAATGGATGTACTATTAAATGTCTCAGTATGTTATTTTTAAAAAGGAGGGGCAAAAAAACCACACATTTTGAGTATCTAACAAAAGATAACAACTGAAGATGAGTATCAGTAAATATTACAAATCAGCCTGTATACTAGAGCATACCAGTATTCAAACACAGAACTGCCCATTTTGAAATAGGTTTTTGCAAAAACCTATTTGCAAAACCTATTTCAAAATATGTTTTCTAGCTTATACCCTAAATTTTAAGTTGCATTACTGTAAAGATAAATGATATATCACCAGATTTCACTGTACAAATTCTGGTTTGACTCTAGTATGTCTTGTAGGATACAGACTTTAAAAATTATAGAAATGAAAGAAAAAATCTAAAGGCATATAAAACTGAAAATTATCCCTTGCATGTAATCAGAACAAAAGTTTGGTTTATTCCTGGCATGAATTCCCAGTTTTTAAATCCAAGTATTTAAGTTTCCATTTGATTATTAGCCTATAATTTAACAAGGTAGGAAATATATGTTACATAGCTTAAGGTAGTTCTCATTTCTTACGATATCTAATAGATTTCAATTTCTTTAGAAAAGTCATGTCTGATTCTGTTTGAAATGCCTGCATCAAATGGGTATGGAAACCTCTTTTGCATTTTTAAAGCTTTTGTTAAGGAATTCTAATGCCCCCATTAAGCTTCAGAATTCTTACTCAAAATTTACTTTCCTGTATCTAGAAACAACTATTAAACATCCAAATTTCCCATTACTCAGAAAGGATAAATGTAAATTCCCTAAAATTTCCTTTTATAGGACTCTAATGTGCCATTAAATGTATTTCAATTTCATAGATACTAAATTGTAAATGTTAAAATGTAAAATAAAATATGATACTTTTTTATTTTCCTGACCCTTTTAAACAACATCTAAACTTTTGCCTTGGAAGACTGTTTGACGATGTCAGGTGAGGGGAAGATGAAATGGGAAAAATACACCCCACTATTAGGCCAAGAAAATACTAAAAACCTATAAATTAAGATTATTGAAATGTTATCTCATGGAGGAATGTAAATCCTTCATTTATATGCCTCTAAAGTTTTTGCCTGTTAAATTTATACTTACAAGGAGGTGGCATATAATGTCGACATGATGACAGTGAGGCTTGTGCAGGGGGCTGGGGCTGGGGCTGCGCCACCATGCTTGATCCATAACCGTCTAGTGACAATGGCTGGCTCGGGGCAGCGGCAGCAGCCTGATGGCCAAAGATTGCAGCTCGGGAAGAAGAGACAGGACAGCAGGGGTCAAAGGCAGATGCTCCGTGAAAACCAGCACTTCCATGACTTCTGATACTACTGTTGCTCAGGTCTACTGGCAAAGCCTGCTGTATAAAGAGGAACTGTATTTTATCTTTCTAAAGTTTGGTCAAAACATTGTTTCATGTTATGTTATGAAAGTAGTCCTAATGCAATCTAGAAAACAGAATATTTGAATTAAAAATTTGCAAATGATAAATTTTTAGTGTGAAGATCTACTGAACACCAAGAAAATACTTGTATCTTGGAGTGTAAAAATTGTAGTGATTATATACTTAAAATCGATAATCAATTTTGAAAAATCAAACATAAGATAATGCTACAAGATGAACAAAAGTTAGTAATTATTTTAAGGTCTCTTTCTCTTTCATTATCTAGATCTCAGAAAGAAAGAAAACTTTTCTACCATACTTCTATATTCTCCTTAATCCCAAAATTCTGATTAGTAAGTTAGGACTTCTTTAAAAAAAACATTATTAAAAACATTAAGGTTCTAGGTAAAAACTTGACTGACCTATTTCTAAACTGTGTACAGCAAAGCATTCAACTGGATCTCTAATAGTGCAAACATTATCCAAGGTAACAAAGGGCATATGATTTCTTTTGTAAGAAGCATACTTTAGGGAAGGCCCATTTACTAAGTTGGAAAATAAACCAGAGAGTCTACTTATCAGTAATTAAGTTTCTCCCCCAAAAGCAGTTTGAAAAGTCCTAATTAAAACATCGTCTACTCTACAGCAAATCCCAAAAAGAACTGCTTCTTTGTTTTCCTGAGTAATCTAAAAACAAAAGCTTTTGCTTAGTGTTCACCACAGCTGCAATTTTAAAAATGATTAAAGAATAAAAAGATTTGGTGTTATATATGGAATTATATACAGGAAGTATTCAATACTTGAAGTATAGGGGCTGGAGATATAGCTGGGGTAATATTAGAGGCGTCCAATGAGGAAGTATAGTGGACTTTGTACTTTTAGGGGGCTCCAGGCTCAGGGGACAATAGGAGAAACCTGTAGATGCTAAAAGGGAAGGAGAATGATGGTAAAGGAGAAGCTGTGGGAAGGTGAAAAGGAATGGGTCCTTTCTTCTTTGTTAACATGTCTCAACTGATTAAGTTAATGTCTGGCCTCTTTCTTTTGAGTTGGCAAATCCCATGTATGTCCTCAATTTGGGTAAATAAAGTTTAAGAATAATATTGTGAGATCGTGAATTTTTATTTATGGTTCAAATCCTTTCCCTATTTTCCTATTTAGGCTAAAATTTTGTAAATGTACTGGAGTATCAACATACTATGAAGGTGAGCAAATTTCCTATCTTCTTCTCTAGGCGTTGATTAAGAACACCCCCAGAGGGTGAGTAAAGTAGGGTGAAGGTCCTCCTCGAAGGAACCGAAGGTAAAGTTAAAAGTAAAGAATAAAAAGAAAAGGGGGGAAAACCAACAAAGAGAATACTCTTTTTCACAATTCCAACAGTTCATTCAATTCTGTTCTAGAAGGAAAATGGAGGGTAAGCAAGATGGGCAAAGAAATGGCAAATATTACTTTACAGTTTATAAGTAATGCACAACACTAAATTATTCTCTCAAAAGATAAAGAAGCTACACACAAAGGAGTAAAAAGGGCTGGGGAGAGTCAAGTGAACACTGCAACTTCTTTGTTGTCAGGCCTAATACTCCCCAGTCTTTCTCTGCCTATCCACCATCTGGCACTGAATCGTAAGACACCATACAATCACAAATCCTCAGGTTAGTTTGCGTCTCTCACTCCTCACTGCCTGCTGTGCCTACACAGGTCTCGACTGGTGGCTATCCTCCAGCCATATGCAGTCACAGTACGCTCGACTAGGAGCATGTGCCTGATTTCAGAGTCCTCCAAATATCTACATGAATCTTCAAGCTATATTCAAAACCTCGCTTTCTGTTCTCCTTCATACCCACTGTCACCACTGAATGCCTGACCTTGCTGATTTTCCTCCAGATTTGTGTGCAGTCCAAACACCTCCACTCAGAGACAGAATAGATTATATTTATTTTACAATGAATAGAAATGTAAAAGAGGCTCCACCTATAATTAAGGCAGTCAGGTTGAAAGAAAATGTGGCACACATAACTGATCTCTCAAACCAGCGGTATTATTTTATTATTTCAACAATATTCTGTAAACAAAAGGCCCAACTTTTGGCAGCTCTTGAATGAATGTAGGAGAAATTGGTAGGTCTACTTCTTTACCATTTTCTACTGTTATTATAAACTCCTCTTCAGCACAAATTTCTAGTAAAAGGAAATTTTGCCTTTATGCAGGGCATTTCATTCAGTCCACTGAAAAGTATTTCCTTTGCTTCCTCACTCCCAAGAAGTAACAGGATCTAGATGATCAGATGTTAACACTTGGAACTATTCCCAAAACCAAAACATCATCTAAAATCTCTTTGTTTTCCACTGAACACTTTAACGTTACCTCTTGATAACAGCAGGTAGTATATTTTTTAAGGAAACGTCCCTCTTTCTTAATTGTATTTTAACTTGTCCAATCCAGAAGAGATAACCATAAAAATTTAAAGACGAAGCAAGTACTTTTAGAAAGGTCAAGGGATACAGGAAAGCAGTTGCTCTGAATTTCTTTTTTTACATTTTTATTGAATTCATTGGGGTGACACTAATAAAATTATATAGGTTTCAGGTGTACAAATCTACAATATATCATCTGAATATCGTACTGTGTGTTCACCACCCTAGGTCTCCTTCCATCGCCATTTATCACTCCTTTACCCTCTTCTACACTCCCCCTGCCTTTTTCTTCTGGCAATCACCATACTGCTGTCTGTGTCTATGAGGGTTTTGTTTTTGGGGTTTTTTTCCTTAGTCCCTTCACCTTTTTGACTTTTTTTCCTTGCATATAGGTCAGTTACCATTTTAGCTTGAAATTATGTTTTGTTTTTTAAAGTATGCATCACCCAGGTTTGTATCATAATTATACACAGAGACAACACAATAAAAGTTAAAATAGCACATGAAACTTCACTTAATTTACTCCACGTGACCTCTAATACTAACATGTTGAGCACTCACTAATATCAACTAATTTACTGAATTACAATTTTTTGATGACATTTCAAGTCCCCATTTAATGAAAAATTTCACCTGTTCCTGAGAAGCTATGACACAGGCTTGCATCTGAGAAGGCTGTTTATTTCTGGAGATGAGTGGAGATTATAGGGAACTCCAGAATAGGAGGTAGAGGGGTGAAAACTGGGAAAATTTCCCAATTTCTCTTGAAGCAGGTTCACACTGCAGTTTCAACACTTTGTTTGAAATACAATCCCAAAGATGAGATTCACCTGTATTTAACTAAAAAAACACCAAAAACCATTCCAGAATAAAAATACTAGTATCATTTCTGATTTTCTACATTTCTGGCCCCCTCAACTGCAATAATTTAGACCATCAAAAAATCCGGGAGATTTAATTAAGGAAAAAAAAATCACAGACTACTAAATTTGGCCACTTTTGCATGGGCAAAGAATAGTGATTTATTTAGTACATAAAATTTAACATTGAGGGTTTTTCTCCTAAAAAAATCACTATTTTAAAAATTTAAGAAAAGAAAGACTCATCCAATTCCACATACCTGGTCATGGTAGCTGGTACCAGAACTACTGTTTGCTCCACAAGGCGCTTGTACTTGTGGAGGCCTTTCCACAGGGCATGTAGGATCACTATAGGAGGGGGAAACTGGGACGGCTGGGTGGGGAGTGTGATGGTGGTGGTGATGATGTTGAAAATGGTGGCCATGCTGTTGAAAGCAACTTGTGTGGGGATGTCCTAACGCATGGTGATTCTGTGACGACCCTCCACACGGCGAGTGCTGAGGACAGCAGGAAGGTAACCTTGGCATTGCAGGAGGGCCATTTTCCATTACAGCACTAGATGCAGTTCTCCTCAAGTCATCTTGTAACAGGAAAAAAACAAAAAACAGAAAAACACATAGAACAATCAAACATCACCATGTAAAAAAGAAGTACTGCATATAAGTAAATAAAAAATTACGAAATGTTTAGCCCTGGCTAGTGTGGCTTGGTGGGTTGAGTGCTGGCCTGCAAACCAAAGTCGCCAGTTCAATTCCCAGTCAGGGCACATGCCTGGGTTGCAGGCCCAGTCCCCCCAGTGGGGGGTGTGCGAGAGGCAACCACACATTGATGTTTCTCCCCCTCTTTCTCTCTCCTCCTCTGTCTAAAAATAAATAAACTTTTTAAAAAAAAGTTTAATAAATTCAAATCTCTGTAAGTAAAAATAGGACAGTGCCACATTCTTAACATACATCTCATATAATTTCGGGCAGCGTCTTCACTGGGATTTTCCTGAAAGCCTAAATTCTTCAGGAGGCACATATTTATCATGATGTTTAAATAGAGCAATAGATCATCTTTTCCTACATCATAACAAATGATTTAAGTTGCATTTTTAAAATTCTAAAATATCATGTGAGTCCTTCCATTATATGCAACTAGGCAAAGTTTCTACCCCTGAGCCCCATGAAACCGTAATACGACTACATAATGCAGTCCAATATGTACTTCTTAAAACCTTCATCTACTTAAGACATAATCACCCAACTCAAAACATACCTGGTAAAGTCTCACTAACTTCCAACATCTTTTCCCTTCCTCTGGACTCTAAACTCAAACCTGATCAAATATAAGAAATGAGAAGCCTCTAATACGTGAAAAATTATAGGCATTTTATAATAACCTAGTGATTTAGTGTTGAACAGTGGAAGAAAAAAGCATGGAGTCAGATGGGCCTGAGTTCTAATCCTGAGATTGTCTAATGCAGAGCAACTCTACCTTAGTGAGCAATTCAAATTTAGGGAAGTTAATTAACCTTTCTCACCTATGAAACAGAGCAATAACTGCCTTGTAGGGCTGTTGTTAGAAAAGATGACAGTCTTCTAAGTATGAAACATCTGAGTCCTGATTATGCTCTCTGCCACATGCCCAGAGTTATTCTGAACATATGCATGTTCTTCCATGCCAGGGGAACAGCAAAAGTGCCCCCTGACCGTCTATCCCAGTGTTTCAAACTCATCTAAAACACAGCACCCTCTCCTTGAACTACATATCATGTGGAATCTATGTAAAACAAACAAATATGGAGATTAAATCTTACTTAAAAGGTGGAATTTAGAGCCCTGACCAGTGCAGCTCAGTTTGCTGGGCGTCATCCCACAAAGCAAAGGGTCACCAGTTAGATTCCCAGTCAGCGCACATATCTAGGTTTTGTCCCTGGTTGGGGCACAAAGGAGAGGCAACCAACTGATGTTTCTCTCTCATATCAATGTTTCTCTCCCTCTCTTTCTCCCTCCCTTCCCCTCTCTCTAAACACACGCACGCACGCACGCACGCACACACATGCACGTGCGAACCAGAAGAGTGGAGAACCCAGAGTTCTGTCTTTTCCTCCCGCATCACCCACATGACCCCTGAGGTGCCCCCTCAGAATCCTGAGGATTCTGGAGTGCCACTCTTCTAGCCTTATTTCTAGAGTAACTGAAACCAGGAATACTCTGCTCCAAACTGGCTCATAGTACCCAGCTAATTTCTTCTGGGTCAATGTACCAACTAGGAATCTTCTGGTTACTAATACAAAAATCCAACCAAAACGGGCTACACCAATAATAGGGAGTTCATGGGCTCACATAAATGAATCTGCTGAGTGGTGCTTCAGGTTCTAGTTGATAGGTTTGTTTGGAAACCTCCCTGTGATTCTCCTGGGTCTGCCCTCCCACACTTGTTCTGCTCTGCTGATTCTCTTCTAGGAAAGGCCTGTGATCTAAATCCTCTTATTCAGTATCTGTATAGTGTTGGTTTTTTCCAAGCTCCCAGTCTGGCCTACCTGGGCTAATTTCCTGAACTCTTTTGTAAAGGTTCTTAACCTGGGAACTAGAATCCAGGAGTCTGTAAACTTGGAGAGAAAAAAAAATTACAAATTTTTACTAATCTCTAATTCCTTTTGGATTAGTACTACCTTTTCAGCATTAGTTGAGAGGTTAAATATTACAAGTAATTTGTAACATAAAACTATGAAAGTTGACAAGGTGTTTACTTTTAAAACATAAATTATGGCACCTCAAAAATCAGTTCTATGTCACTTCCATTGATTTACATTCCAAATTTCTTGAATAACCTGGACACAGTTACAATTAGCATATCAGGAATTTACCAAGATCTATAACCTACCTTAGCTATGCTAAATCAAACATTAAGTACCTATTTTAAATATGCTATAATACTTGTAGTAATAACTGATTATTACAGTGACTTTAATCCCTGAAGAATTTTTAGGGTTTTATCTCAGTCCACATGTCAAAGTGTTGTACAAGTGAATGTCATTTATTTTGTTACTTCAGGAAAAGAAAATTAAAACCTCTGGGACATTGAATCCATTCAATGGATGAACTGAATGACGTTCCTGGTTCTTTACAACTGTGATACTTTAATTTTACAAGTCCAATTATTTAAGGATTATGTGTAACTCTAAGACTCAAGAGATGAGTTTGTAACCAGAGCAAGCTCTCTGGACTGTTAGAACTATGACTGAAATGACAGATATGACACACAGAAAGAATGTGTGCCTTCTTTGTCTTCAAATATTTCAAATACAAAATCACAGTGAAAAAAAGAAGCACAATGACTATAACATATTTAAGACTCAACACATATTTAAGGGGTCAGATCACTAATAGTGTGGCCTCAAACAGAAGGCAAACCTTATAGCTCTACTTCTTAGGGTACAGTTTGGGCCTCCAATTAAATTAAGAGTCTATTTTCCTACAGTTCAGAACCTCTTTGTTGCTTAAACAGGGTAGCAACTAGCTCAAAGTAAAGGCAACTGAATCTCCCTGTTCAACAGTTACTAACCAAAGAAAACTGCCATACATTAGAAGTGAAATAAAGAGATATCTGATTAAATAAGTATCAGTAAAATACACTTTGCTAAAATTAGCCCACAGATTGTCCACTAAAATTGAGACAATCACAAACCTATACCAGAGAAATAACTCCACAGACCAGTGACATCAAGCTGGTTGAAGTCCCTTCACTGTAATTCTAGGACTACTGAGATGTACTCATTTATTGATTTATTGCATTTATTCATTCATTTGGCAACTCATACACATAATGTTATGGTAAAGGATCTACAATAAGCACTGAAATTACAATGGGAAAAATTAAAGTCCTGGCTAGAAACATGTCTACACAATGTAGGTGAATCAATAAGCACTTGTTAAATTTAAATTAACCTCCCAAGAAGAGGCATTTATGTATGCATGCAGCCAAGTCTAAGAAAAGGCAGACCTGATCTTTGGTATTCAAGTAGCTTATCATCAAGTATGAAGACAATGTAAGACACAAATGAATCAGTATTATAAATGAAGCACTGAGTTCTAGTATAGTATAGAGCAAGGTTGCCTCCAAGGAAACGTGGCAACACCTGGGGATGCTTTTGATTATCACAACTGGAGAGGAGGTAGTGCTACTGGTATTGAGTGGGTAGAGGTCAAGAATAATGCTAAATATTCTATAATACACAGGATAGCGCCCCCACACAAAGAACTGTCCAACCCAAAGACAATAATGACAAGGTTAAGAAATCCTGGTATAAAGGAAGTGTACAAGCTCCAAGCCACACTTCCTAGGAGTGAATTCTTGCTCCACTATCTCATAACCTTGGGCAAGTTACTTCATCTGTAAAATGAAAAGAGTAATTGAATCTGCCTCATAGGTTATTACAGAGATCAGTTAATATAAATAAACCATTGACTCATGTTATGAGCTCAACAGATGTTAGCTATTATTATACATTAGAATATTAGCTCTTTTAGGGCAGAAAATTTATGTTTTCTTCCCAGTGTTTAGACCAGTGCCTGATATAGTATGTAATCAATAAATATTTGTTAAGTAAATGAATATATAAGATTTCATGTATGCACAGAGCAAGGAACACATGGAGAAGTCAGAAAGATGATAGGTTGACTGGGGCATGTTGACTTTAAGCTGACTGCAGAATGGTCCAGAGGAGATGCCCGAGAGGCAAGTGGATATGAAAGTTCAAAACAAGAAGACAGCTCTGGAAACACAAAATGGAGGGTCACTAGCATATTGATGGTAGGTGAAAACAACTGTCGTTATGAGATGGGCCAGTGAGAAAATAGATGAGAACAGAGTCCTGGGAGAATGTAGAGGAGAAAACTGTCAGACTGTTTTAACATCATGTTTGTTTTGAAAGGCATCAGAGGCAAGTTAAAAGAATATGGTTAAGATGAGGAAGGTCCACCAAAGGGTACATATATTTAACACAAATATAAGTGTGCATGTACCAAGGGAATGAAACCAATAAAGATGCTGAAGACTTAGGAAAGATAACTGTTAAAGCATGGTCAAGGACACTAGAAGGGATAAGAGGTAGAGCACACACAGGGTCTGAAAAACCAGGACAGAGTTAAAAGACTAGGAGTTAGGACAGAAAGATAAGTATAAATATAAAAAAGTTTTTTTGGAGGGGTTGGAAATTATGGAGGTTCATGCCTGAGAACCTCCATTTATTTTTTATTTACTTTCCCCTGGAGGAATAAGTCTTAAGGAAAACGAGAGAATTTTGGAATAGCCACTGAGGGGAAGAAAAGGTAATGATCAAGATACATCATACTAAGGCAACTTATAAAAAACCCGAGGTTAGATACCCTAAATTCAACATGCTTGGTTCTATGATTTTTATAAGCCCCATTTAGAAACCTGGATAGAGCAAAGCTAGATGCCTTAAGTTTTTGAAGGCTGGAAACATGCAAGAAAGTGCAAAGTAAAAACAAGGTGTGAAGGAAACAGATGTTCTGTAGAGTCTTGGGGAAAAAAATGAAGCCAACAGAACTGAGTGCTCCTAATGTAGCCTGAATATCTTGTATGTGCTTCTATCAGGTTTATACAGAGGAACAATCAGGCCTGGAAAAGATTCTCCTAGCCTACGTAAAAGGAACAAAAAGTCAGTCTATACCAAAAGTGGTTTTCAATATAGTTAGAGTAATATTATGAGAAGGCCATTCAGTGTAAAGTTGCTACTTAGGAGATAAAATGTGAAATCTGGTTGAACAAGGGTCTTAAATGAATGAATGAACGATTTAAGACTCTCTTGAAATAATGTTGGGACTCTGTCACATACAATGTAGATAAGAATAAGGGTACATAAAGCTACCAGGAGAGAGGAATTCAGATCTTTGCCTCAAAGATTATTATTGACCTTCCAGATTTCTTCATTTCTGATGGGAATAATATCAACATCAAGAAAGTGCTTAAGAATTAAATAATAACTAAATGACAGGAGAAAGAACTAGATATCATTGTTAATTAAAACATAAGAATTCATCCTCAATGAGTTAAAACTATAAAATTCTTTTTTTTTTTGAAATTTTTTAAATTCTCACCCACGGACAGTATTGCCTTGCTTTTAGAGAGAGACAGAGGGAAAGGGAAACATCAATGTGAGAAACATCGACTGGTTGCCTCCCACACATGCCCCGACCAGGGATGGAACCTGCAACCTAGGTACGTGCCCTGACTGGGAATTTAACCTGCAACCTTTCAGTTACGAGACAACACTCCAACCGAGCCACACTAGTCAAGGCAAAACTATAAAATTCTTAAAACATAGGAGTAAATTGGTGTCATCCTGAATTAAGCAATGGTTTCTAAGACATGACACCAAAAGAACAAACAAACAAACAAAAACTGAGAAAATGGACATCACCGAACTTTTTAAAACTCCCAACCATTTTCAATTCTTTTGAGTACTTACCTAGGAATGGAATGATGGGTGATATAGCAAGTCTACATTTAACTTTCTTTAAAATAAATTTTTATTTTTTAATTACAGTTGAAGTACAGTATTAGTTTCAGGTGTACAACCCTGTGATGAGACATCTATATAACTTACAAAGTGATCACTCCACTCCAATAAATCTAGTACCCAACCCCCTCCCATCTGGCAACTGTCAAAATGTTTTCTGTATCTGTAAGTCTGTTTCCGCCCTGCTTGTTCATTTGTTTTTTAAATTCCACATGTAAGTAAAATCATCTGGCATCTGTCTTCCTCTTTCCGATTTATTTCACTCAGCACAATACCCTCTAAGTCCATCCATGTTGTTGCAAATAGCAAGATTTCATTTTTTTATTGATGAGTCATATCCAATCATCTTCTTTTTATCCAATCATCTATTGATGGACACTTAGGTTGCTTCCATATCTTGGCTATTGTAAATAATGCTGCAGTTAACATATGGATGTATATATCTTTTTGATTTAGTGTGTTGGATTTCTTTGGATAAATACTCAGAAGTGATGTCGCTAGGTCCTTCTTTGTCTTTTGTTACATAGTCTTTGTTGTAGAGTCTAGTATAAATATTGCCACCTCAGCTTTTTAAAAAATTTCCATTTTCATGGAATACCTTTTCATCCCTTTACTTTCAGTCTGTGTATGTCTTTCCCTGGTACAGTATGGCTTCTTCACTAAGATGCCTGAAAAGCAATTCTAATTTCACCACTGACTATGCTCCTGGGTAAATTACTTAATCCCTCTCAATTTCCTCACTGATAGAACAAGGAAAATACAAAGTTTTCTTCATAGAACTGTTGTTAGGATGAACTGAGATTACATATATAAAGCACTTTGTACAATGCTTTACATATAGTAAACACTTAGTAAACATTATCTATGGTATTTAATATTGATCTGGATACTAGGCCCTTATCAAATGTATAATTTTCAAGTATTTTTCATTCTGTGTGTATCTTTCAATCTGAAGTGAGTCTCCTGTACACAGCATATATACGAGTCTTGCTTTGTTATCCATTCAGTCGCTCCATGAGACTCCATTCAGTTCCTCCCTGTATGTCCCTGGCGTCTTTTGAGCTGCTGTGCCAGTATGAGAGATCAGAGTGAGTGGGTCTGACTAAGTCCACATGCATGCCCCTTAAGAGGAACACCTGGGACTCCAGCAGCCCTCCGTCTCACTCAGCCAGTTTTCACAGCCCGAAGTTGGGGGAGTTCTCTTCCCAGCACTGGAACCCCGGGCAGGGAGGCCTGGTGTGGGGCTGGGACCCTTCGCTCCTAAGAGGGGCTATCCACAGCCAAGATACCCTTTTGATTGTTAACCACCACTTGTGGGTATGGGACCAGCCTGTTCCATGTTTCCACCACTCCTACCAGTATCAATATAGCTTCTTCTTTGTCTTTTGTTCAGCTAGATTTCAGGGAGTTCTAACTGATGGCTGTTTTGTAGTTTAGCTGTAATTTTGATGTGCTTGTGGAAGGATGTTAACTACCGCATTTACATCCTCTGCCATCTTGACCGGAAGCTATGTTTAACTTTTTGAGAAACAGCCAGTGTTTCCAAAATGGTTATCCCAGGTTACATTCCCACCAAATTATTCATAAGGGTTCCAATTTCTCCACATTCTAGTCAACGCTGGTTAATTTTTGATTCTTTAAAAAAAATTATAGACATCCTATTGGTTATAAAGTAGTACTTCATTGTGGTTTTGGTTGGCATTTCCCTACTAACTAATGATGTTGTCTTCATGTACTTTTTTACTCATTTGTATATCTTCTTTGGAAGAATATCTATGCAAATCCTTTGCCCATTTTTAATTTTTTTCAAGATTTTTATTTTTTTTTTTTAAGAGAGAGGGGAAGAGAGAGATAAAGAGCAGGAGAGAAACATCGATGTGATAGGAGAAATATCAATCGGTTGCCTCTTGCAAACCCCCAGCTGGAAACCTGGCCCACAACGCAGGCATGTGCCCTGACTGGGAATCGGATCAGTGACCTTTTGGTTCACAGGCCAGCACTACAACCTACTAAGCTACAACAGCCAAGGCCCATTTTTAAACAGAGTTGTTTTACTTTTTTTTGGCAAGGTGTGAATGTTCTTTATATATTCTGGATGCCAGACCCCTACCAACTGTATGATTTTCAAATATTTTCTCCCATTCTGTAAGTTGTCTTTTCACTTTTTTGATGTCCTTTGATGTACATAAGGTTTTAAATTTTGATAAAGTTCAATTTACTTATTTTTTCTTTTGTTGCTAGTATTTTTTGTATCAGCCATTTAATTCTCCCCAATTTCTTTCAGCTGAGCTATGATCCTCTGGTAACACAGAGCACTCAAACTCAAATGTGAAGTCATAGTCTGATTCTAATTGAGGCTACTTAGCTCACATATGATGATTATTCTAAGACTATAATCTTGATAATATAGCTAAAAGCTTAAAAACAACAATCTTTTTTCTAACAAATGTAAGAAAAAAAGAGTCCCTCCTCCCCCCATATTTTACATACCTCCTATAGAAGTACCAGTCATACTATTGCTTGTAAGAGTAGCTGACGTCTCTGACACTGTGGAGGGTTGGCTACTAGTGACAGCTGAAGTAGTATCAGAGGCCTGCTCAGAGGTAGATGGATTGGAATTGTTAGTGGAAGCGCTTGTGGTTTGTGATTCCATTCTTGCAGAAGTGGTTGGTACTACAGTAGGTTCTACAAAACACAAAATGTTTATTACAGAATTTCAAGACAAATTAGGTAGTAGGTTATATGTTAACTCAAACTACCATTTTTAAGATAATTGTTAAAGCAAACTTTAAAAATATAAATTCTCTAATAAGTAAAATATGTAGTAAAAAAAGCTTTCATAAGTCTAAACTGCAACATTTAAAAGATATGTTACTAACATATGATTACTGCATTTAAAAAATTCTGACACCTAGTAATCATATTCCAATAATTCAGGCAATTTACCTAGTTTCTTGAGTAATAACTATGTGAGTTTTCCGATCTATCTTAAGAAAAGAGAGGGGAGGAGAGGGGAGAGAAAAGTAGGTCTCCCTGCTATGTTCATACACATTGTTACAGGCTGTCAGAACAGGTACAAATAGCACTTTCTCTGGTATGGTATGGTTTCCAGAGTCAGAAGCTCGGAAAGCAGTTCTGTTTTCACCACTGACAGTATGCTCCTAGATAAGTTACTTAATCACTCTCCATTTCCTCACTTACAGAACTAGGGAAGTACAGAATTTTCTTCATAGAACTGTTGTTAGGATGATTGAGATCACATATATCAAGAACTTCATACAGTGCTTTACATACAGTAAACAGTAAACACTATCATATTTAATATATTTTAATCTTTCTTACATGCATTTTTGTATGTTTTCCATAAAATTTTCTGCAAATATTAATATTCAGGAGTACTTTCTTTTTTTAAAATATTTTATTTATTTATTTTTAGAGAGAGAGGAAGGAAGGAAGAAGAGAGGGAGAGAAACGTCGGTGTGCAATTGGTTGCCTCTTGCATGCCCCCAACTGGTGACCTGGTCTCTAACTGAGGCATGTGCTGACTGGGAATTGAACCAGTAGTGGCCTTTCAGTTTGCAGGCTGGTGCTCAATCCACTGAGCCATACCAGCCAGGACTAAGCTGTACTTTCTAATAAAAATTTAAAGTTTTTGTAGTGGAATATGAAAAAAAAATTCAGGTAGAATTTAACGACTCTGAGTCTAAAATACGAATATTTTAGACTCTGGTATTGAAAGAGTTGTTTAAAAATAAACACTGAGAATAAATCTGACCAAAGCATAGTCTTAACAACTAGATCTGAAAAACAACTCTCCTAATGTGATCTAGAACAGAGGAGAACTATTTTATACAACACAGTGTGGAAGGCTGACTCCTGAAATACAAATAGTGCCTGTTGGTCTATATGCAGCATTGTACTTCGAGTGCTTAAACAAATGTATTTGCCTATACCTAAAAAACAAAGGGAGGAACCTCTGTTTATTTGCAAATGGTTTATATCAGTTTCTCAGCCTTGACAGTATTGACATCTTTAGCTGGATAATTCTTTGTTGAGGGTGAGAGGAGGGATAGAAGGTGGGCTGTCCTATGCAATGTAGAATGTTGAGCAGCATCTGTGGCCCCTACCCACTAAAGGTTAGTAGCAATCTCCCTCAACTGTGAGAACCAAAAATGTCTGTAGATATTGATAAATATCTCCAGGGTCATAAAATGACAGCCACTGAAGAACCATTGGCCTAACTATTATACTTAAGTTTGGGGTTTATTTTTCATAAGACAGAAGCTTTCCACTGAAAGAAACTAGGAAGAAAGTAGGAGGAAGAGAGGGAGAGAAACATCAATGTGAGAGAAAAATCGATTGGTCACCTCTCACACACCCCAACTGGGGACCAAACTCACAAACCAGATATATGCCCTAACCAGGAACTGAACTGATGATCTTTTGCTTTGCAGTATGATACCCAACTGAGCCATACCAGTCAGAGCTCTGCTGTCTGTATTTCTAAAGTGCCATTTCTATTTTTCATAGCAAAAGTTAAAGTATGAAAATAATATTATAAATGAAAGTAATAGGTAAGTCTGAGGACAGACCAAACTATAACTTGTAAATTACTTTTCCCCTAAGAAAATAACTACCAAGCAATGAAACAATAACTAGAAAAAAATTTTAGATACAATTTACTATATAATAACATAGGCTATTATAGCAATTGAAAGATAAGATTAGAAAATCTGACAACTTCCCTGTACTTTAATAATACAGGGTCCGGCAGAAGTAAGGCCTGCTTGAGTGTGATTGGTAGGGTAATAATATGGGTGTAATAATTTATAGTTTTAATTTGAACATTTCACCTAAAATGTCATATGGTGTACTGGAATGTGATATTGTTATACTACAGAATTACATGCTTACGATTTTGTAATAAAAAAGGGGCATTATTTGTGTCAGACCCTGTATACTACCATTAAGTAGCAGTAGGAGTTTCTAGCATAGTAAGATATTTTAACACGTTCTCTTCATAATTCTACATGTTACTACTCCACCTTACCATCTTCATCAACGGTAAGGTCCACCACTTCTGCTGCATTCTGCCTCAAGGGCTGTATCACAGTAGAAACCCTACTGCGGTTCCGTGGCTCCTGTGGCCGACTTGTATGAGAACTTGAACCTTGGCTCCAGTGAGATCTGGAGTGTCCAAGGGTTGAACGAGACCTTAAATGATATCAATATTAAATTAGTAAATATAAAATCACAAAAATTTTAGTTACCTAAGAAATAGTAAGACTTTCTCACAAAGTAATTTGTGATATACTTCATGCAAGACTTCTGCAAAGAAATAATGGTCAGAGAATTAAAAATTATGACTAACACAATGTTTGACTGGCACTCAATAAACATCTTCTGAATAAAATGTTCTCCAGCCAACTGACCTAAGAATATGAAAAATGTAAGTTGTCATTTTGCACCAATTGCTGTAAAATACAGGATTCAGTTTCAAGAATGCTGCTCTCTTTTCAAAGGTTTGCATACTCACGTGGGCTATCACCAATTATTTACATTTCATGTAAATACCTAAAATTATTCACCGTAGGCAAAGTAACAACAATATCAACACTCTAACATTTAATAGCATCCACATGATCTTGCATGTTTAGTCAAGACTGAATTGGCAAAACGTGGCTTGGGGTGTCCTAAACCCAGCTAACTTTCTGGTACTGATCTAAAAAAGAGTCAAGGCACCAGAGGGATTTCCTAGGATCAGAAGAGTAAGGATAGTTGTAGCTTGTTTATTATAGATGGACCCTGACTTAATGGTTCGATTTAGGAATTTTCCACTTTACTATGGTTTGAAGGCAATATGCATTCAGTAAAAACAGTACTTCGAACTTTGAATTTTGATCTTTTCCTGGATTAGCAACATGTGGTATCTCTCTTATGAAGCTGGGAAGTGGCAGCAAGCCGCAGCTCCCAATCAGCCACCTGACCATGAGAGTAAATAATGAATATTCTACAGTGCCTTCAGTGTATATTCACTGACAAATTTGCCCAACTGTAGGCTAACGTAGTGTTCTGACCACATTTAAGGTAGCCCAGGCTAAGCTATGATGTTTAGTAGCTTAAATGTATTAAAAACATTTTCTTTTCCAGATTATTTTGAGGTAAAATTGGTGTATAATATTATTTAAATGCATTTCCAATTTATGGTATTTATGGTTTTTTCAACTTTATTGTTAAGTCAAGGAGCATCTGCAGTTTGTAGCCTTAAGAAACATCCCTTGTTTGAGCTGCTCTATGCTTTTACAGTATGTAACCACAGTCCCTCAACACCTAACACATTTGTCATCTTTAAATTACATGTGTGTCATATACTGTACTGCACTGAATTTCTTACAGGTATGCATTTAATTTAAACATTTTTTAAGGATTCACTGTAATTTTTGAATGACTGAGGGTACAGAGGGCTAAAATATAAGACTATGCAATCCTAGGGCTCCAGGAGAAAAATAAATGCTTTACAAAGGTGGGGCTTATAAAGTCAGGTTTTTTTCCTGCCCAAGCTGAATATAAGACTGTAATACTGCTTATAAGCTATTGTTAGCATGTATAGAAAGGGTGAACCAAATTCATTAATATGTAATCATCAGGGGTACAAATTCAACCATTCAGAAATGAACCCCAAAGTTCAAACCAGGCTGAAAATGGCCTCAGCAACTATAGAACCTAAGAGTTTAGAAAAAGTTTAAACAGTGAAACACTGAAGTAGAAGGAATGTAAAGATTAATTCCTGAGACACAGTAACAAAAGGACATCACATTCCCAGAAGAACTGTATAGGCTAAAGCATGATAGTAAACAAATATCTGGGGATGAAATGGTTTTGGGTGAGGTGAGAGATCACCATTTAAAATTCTTGAGAAACCAAGACTCTGATGAGACTGTGTAGTCTATTTCTGGGAAGCTGTTAACAGCTGCAGAAATCTCCCAGTTTGATGAGTGGAACACCAGCACAAAACCTGAAGTGCGAAGAACTGGTGACATATGTGGCAACGGTTAAACACTGACACAAAAGAATCTGTGACACAGATGCATTCTCTCTTAAGAGAAAGGGCCAAGAGCCAGCTAGGCAGTGACAAAGTTAATACTCTACATAACAATAAGGAAAATAAGTATGAGTCATGAGCATTGCCTGTCTTTTCAAAGATCACTGTCCATTATTATGCTAAATACATCTGCTTGAACATTAAGTGTTTCCGTGACAAGAAAGATCTCCAGTTCCACAAGGAGAAACAGGTTGTTGATTTTAGCAATCCTTGTAGCTCACACAAACTGAGTCAGTGTCATACTAAGCACTATGCAGAGTCAACAGGGCGACTGTGGCACATACCATGGAGTGTAAATTTTCCTCAGAGTCTGGGAAAATCATTCAGAACTTAAAACAAACAACGATATATAATGTTCTCTTCCATGCCATTAGAAGTAGCACTCCCTTGGCCCTGGATGTGGAGCTCAGTTGGTTAGAGTGCCGTACTGATACGCCAAGATTGCAGGTTTGATCTCGGTCTGGGCGTACACAAGAAGCAACCAACAAGTGTATAAATAAGTGGAACAGCAAAATGGTGTTTCTTTCTTTCTTTCTTTCTTTATCTCTCTCTCTCTCTAAAATCAATTTTAAAAAATTAGAGGTAGCACTCCAATGGGAAAGTGGCCAGTGGTGATGCACATTCTAAGTATGTTTTGAACATGCTTCTGAAATAGGAAAGTTTTCTTTTTAATCAATAACACCGAAAATTAAAATACAATGAGCAAGTATGTTTCCAAATTAACCCAACACAAAAATTAAGAGTCATCCATAGGTTTGGTGCATCAAATGGAACAGAGAAGCATTTCACTGCTTCTCTTAGCAATATTTGTAATCATCTAAAACACAAGTTAAATACAATGTATAATATAGTAATATAGTGTTATGATTTTTCTCTTTCTCGGGGGTGGAGGGAGTGATGCTCAAAAGGGCAAAGTCATTTCCAATTATTTATCAAAACATATAAGAATTTTTCAATCATTTATTAGAACAGAGCTTAGATGAAATTACTGAGTGGACAAAAAATTTTTTTAACTGTTCTATACTATGTTGCTCTGATAGAACACCACAAACTTCACTAGTATCAATGAGATCTTGAAAAAAGTAGATTAACAAAAAAGAAATACTTTATGAATATTTCTTAATTTTTGTTTTGCTTTTTAGTATCATCCCCAATATTTATGTATTATTCACATCTAAATTTCAAAGGAGTTCATGAAACCTCTGAATCATAAAACAAACTCTATTTTGTAGAACATTAAGTAAAATACTGTTTTCCTAGAGCACTGACTCTTAACTTTCACTGTACATTTGGGGTGCTGAAAAAAATATTGTCCCCTAAGATTCTGGTTCAGTTGGTCCGGGACACAATCCAGGCAACAAAATATCTTTATTTTATGGCCTCCCAGGTGAGTCTAATGTAGCCTGGTTTGAATACCACTAATCTGCTACATACATACTCAAACTAGGTCTCCAAAAAAAAAAAAAAAAAAAAAAAAGACAAAGGAAAGATGCAAGTATCTGCAGCACAAATATGTTTAAGTATTTCTATTTAAAATTTCAAGTAAACAAACTAGCAATTAAAATCTTACCGATAGCTTTCTCCAACTGTTACAATCTCCACTTCACTATCAGTTGAGGTAACATTAATTTCTTCATTGGCAGCAACCTGGGGAGTGGAAGAAGCTTCTATTACCACAACATCTTCATCGATACTTCCTGGGAACAAAAAGAAAAAACATTTAAAGGGCACCATCCTGTCAGCTAATTGACATACAAAAATTTTTACTTTGACAAGAAGACTACAAAATTCATTACAAAAGTATAAGTTCTATCAGTCAAAATGAAATGTTTTTTAAAAAGTTAAACACACATAGTGAAAACAGTACAAGTACTTACTCTCTTGATCTGTATGTCTTCAGATATTTATTTCTTCCTTTATAACTTTTGTTCTTTAAAAACTTAGTGGTCTCCATATGAATTTGTATATTACAGAGATATTATCACTGTTACATCTAAAGGTACTGATTTAAGACCCTATATGTTATTCACATTCTATATTTACTTTTTAATATCTACAATATACATTTGCTATATGTTTCTTCCCAGGTTATATTTTTATGTGACATTCTTTTAAGAAATGTACATATTAGTTTTTTAATTTTGTGCTATAAAAACTGTAATTTTTGTACATTTTCTCCTAAATTATTCTCCGTTTGGAGAATGCTTCCTTATTTGGAGAATGGATACATATTATATTTGGTTCAATGTGTTTCCTTAATTATTTACTTTATCTAAAACTAATTTTTCAATGGAATACTACTCAGCCATAAGAAATGACAAAATACTGCCATTTGTGACAACATGGATGGACCTTGAGAACATACTAAGTGAAATAGGTCAGTCAGAAAAAGTTACGAACCATATGATTTCACGCATATGTGGGACATAAAACTAAAACTCATGGACACTGCAATGTAGTGGTTGCCAGAGGCAAAGCGGTGGGGAGGGGAGGGGGGCATCTAATATATGGTGATGAAAGATGATTTGACTTTGGCTGGTGTGCACACAGTGAAATATACAGATCTAGTATCACAGAAATGTATACTTGAAGCATATATGATCTTAGTAACCAATGTTGACTCAATAAATTTAAAATAATCACTCCACAAAATAAATAAAAATAATTTTTGTTTATGGTATTAGATAAGATTATAAATAGAATCTGGCCCTCTCCCTCCCTGACTAACTAGTTATTATCAAACCATTTCTTGAAAAATCCTTTCTTTTCCCCCATTAAATTTTGATACCTCCCTTAAATATTCTTACATGCTTTAGGTTACATTTTGAAGCCATCTATTAATCCCCTTTGACCTAGAGTCTTTTTTCAGGTAATTCTATTCTTAAAACAACTTTTGTGAAGTATTGCTTTCATACTTTGAATTCACATTTTTTTCTCAGAGAGAGATTAGTACACACATAATCAAGAGGTGAAAGCAATCTAAATGTTCATCAGTGGATGAATGGATAAACAAAATGTGGTATATACACAGAACAGAATATTATTTGGACCTAAAAATGAGGGAAATACCATCACATGCTGCAGCATAAATGAACCTTAAGGGCACTATGCTAAGTGAAATAACCCAGAGTCTGTCTGTCTGTCTGTCTCTCTCACACGCACACACCCCCACACACCCCCCCTTGCACAGTTCCACAGATTCATAGAGGAAGAAAGAAGAATGGTGGTTACCAGGGCTGAGGGGAAGGGGAAAAGGAAAGTTGTGTGATGGGTATGAAGTTTTCTTTTCACATTGCAAGATGAAAAAGTTCTGGATTTCTACTTCACAACAAAGTGAATACATTTAACATTACTGAACTGTATACTTAAAAAAATTAAGATAGTAAAAGAAATGCTTCATTTCTCTTGCTGTATTTTTCCACAAATCTGGTGCTAAATTTACATAAATATTTCTCTTTTTTCATTACTATCACCTGTCAATGTAAAAGTCAACCAATAAACTATAAACTGGTAAACAACAAATCATGTTTGTATTAAGAATTTTCTCATAATAAGAATACTGAGAGCTAAAATTACACCCATTTTAAGCGTACATTTCACTGATTTTAGTAAATTTATAGCACATAACCATCACCTCAATCCAGTTTTAGAACATTTCCAACACCCTAAAAAAAATCCTGCATGCCCTCTTTCAGTCAGTCATCATCCCTCAATCTACCCCTACAACGACTGACCTATTTTCTGTCCTCATGGATTGGTTTGTATCTTCAGGAGTTCTAAAGAAGTGGAGTCGTATATTACATACACTTTTGTGTTTGGCTTCTTTCACGCAGTGTACTTACTTTGAGATCTATCCACGTTGCTTTATCAATAGCTCATTCTTTTTTTATTGCTGAGTACTATCCTATCATAGGAATATACAATTTGCTTATCCATTCTTCTGTTGATAGACACCTGGATTTTTCTCACATTTGTCTATTTTACAGAAAAGCTTCTATAAACATTTGTCTATAAGTTTTTGTATATTCATGTACTTTCTTTTCTCTTGGATACTTAAAAATGTAATTTCTACATACTATGCTAGATTTGTTTAACTTTCTAAAGAAATGCCAAATTATTTTCTTAAGTGGCTGTACAATTTTACATTCCCATCAGGAAAGTGAGGGCTTCAGTGTCTCCACAGCCTCATCAATAACTGGCATTGTCTTTTTTTTATTATAGCTGGTCTAGTGGATTTATACTGGTACCTCATTGTGGTTTTGATTTCTATAATAATGAATGATGTTAAGCATTTTTTCAAGTGCTTATTAGCCACTTCGATGAAATATGTATTCAAAACTTTTGCCCATGTTTAACTTGGACTTTGGTTTTACTGTTGAGCTGTAAGAGTTCTCTATGTATTTGAAATACAAGTCTTTTATCAGATATGTTATTTGTAAATAATTTCTCTCAGTCAGTAGCATGTCTTTTTATTTTCTTAATGGTGTTGTTAAAGTAGCCCTTAATTTTGATGAATTCCAAATCAGCATTTTTTTTTATGAATCATGCTTTTGGTGACATATTTAAGAAATCTCTGCCTAACCAAAGATCACTGAGAATTTCTCCTGTTGATCCTAGAAGTTGTACTGTTCAGCTTTTACATTTACTTTATGATCCATTTTAACTTTTGTGTCTGACAAGACATAAAAGGTCTAAATTCATCTTTCTTGCATGTGAACCTGCAATCGTCCCAACATTATTAGTTGAAAAGACTAAAATAATTCCATTTTGATACCTAGTAGATTAAAGTTTTTCTAATTATTGTTCACGGTTATAAAATCAACGAGAAAGAACACCTTCTGAGGTTGAGACTGGAGTGGCATTAAGCAACACTAATTAAGCCAGAACATGTTTAGCATATATATTTATCTTATATGTAAATATGTATTTTACATAAAATATGTATTTATTTTTCTCACCCAAGAATATATCTTGTCATTTATCATAATCATCATTTATAAATTCCTAGAAAACCTACAGGGTTTGATTTGATTACAAACGCAACTCTCTATAAAGCTATATAATTTTATTGAGAGGCCAAATATACTTCTATTAAGATTATTCAAAGACACTTCATCCTTCTTGTTGCTTTTGTAAGTAAGCTCCTTTTTTGCATCGTATTTTCTACCAGTATGGAAGTATTACATTAATACTTTATATTCATTTTTATCCAACTCACCACAATAACAAATTGTTCAACACTCGTCACTGAAATTTATGTAGTCTACATTCCTTCACCCAAGGTACTATTCCTTGGTGTCACCTTTAACACATCTCTACATCATCAGACATCTGCACTACTTCAAAAGCTGGCCCATATCTGGAGGAGGTACAAGCCCATGACAAGGATTTAAAACATATTTTGATACTCCAGAAAAGAAAACAAAGAAGGCACTGATAACCATAGAGGCGATGAAAGATGATCTGATTTGGACAAAATTATTTTTCAGTATTTCAAAATATATTTATATTTTAGGATGTATGCAAATCATTGTATCAATTAAGTAGAAAAAAATAAGATTTAACAATTATGAGATATGTAAATTTTTGAAGTAGTTTCTAAGTTCTAAAGGTTACACACATAGACATACTGAGGTAGGATATATTTTTTAACATCATAAATATATATTATAGCAGAGAAAACAAAATAGCAACACTCAAGTAGCTATTTAAAATAATATTCTAGAGTCAATTTACAAATTACCTTTTGATTCTTGCTTCATAATCATGTACATGATGCAGCTTAAGATAGTAGTACAAAGGGAATCATATATTGAAAACTAAAAGTATTATATATAAAAATAAAAAACCATGAGTTGTATTTTAAAACTTCCCTTATTTTAACTCAACAACTGGACATCACCATTCTGCAATGGAGAAAATCTGTATCTACGCATCAACTTTATTAGTGATTTCTCTCCATGTATATGTATGCATAAAATGTCTTTGTTTTTTCAAAAGACTGTTACTTCTTTAGACAAAGGGGAAGGGAAGGAGAAAGAGAAGGAGAGAAACATCAATGTGCGATGTTGCTTATCCCATGCCCCTAAATGGGGACCTGGCCCACTACCCAAGCATGTGCCCTCACTGGGAATTGAACCAGCAACCTTTCTGTTTGCAGGCCAGCACTCAATCCACTTAGCCACACCAGCTAAGGCCATGAAATTTCTTTAAAGGCCTATAAAAAATAACCCAACGTTATTAAACATCTTTTATATAGTTAAACAAAGTCAAATAAAAGTATAACATTTTTGAAGTTCCGATGATAAATGATACAAAGGTAGCTAATGCATTAAAATTCAGTTTATGTAATTTTTTCATGGACAGGAAGACTGTGTAACTAAAATTTATATAAATAACTCAGCCACTCTTTTTCTACTGATTAAACAATCACCGTTTTTCTAAAATGGGTGTTTTGTAAATTCAGGAGATAAACTGCTAATTGATTACCTCTGGGTAATAAGACTGGGACCTAAGAAATAGAGGTAAACTTTTTTCCCCATTTTGAAATAAACTTTTATGTTTTAATTATATTTTATTGATTATGCTATTACAGTTATCTGATTATGCTATTACAATTGTCCCGATTTTCCCCACTTTGCCCTAATCCACAGAGTACCCCCCACTCCCTCAGGCAATTCCCACACCATTGTTCGTA